CAGTCTGCTGTTATCCAGACGGGTTTTTCTCACTAATAACTCCATATTTCATTAGTTTGAAGATATTTCAAGTTGAAAATAAATCGCACTCCATAATTTTGTTGACAATAGGCTATTCTGTTTGAACTGGAATTAGATTTTAACGACATAAATTTATTAGATTCAATTAAATTGGCTTTTAATCCTGTTGTATGACACTACAATATTAATATGAAGATCTCAAACTACAAACCAACTTAAATTATGCATTAATTGAAGTTTGGAGACATTTTAAAATGCGTCTTTTCAGAACCGCAACTGACACTTGCGACGGCCGGGAGGTGGTGGTGGGGTGCAGAGGTGCGCGACTGCCCCTCTGAATAAATGAAAACTATGTAACACAGTTGTTTACACTGATATTAAAAATATTTGACCAAAGAAAAACCAGAGCAGGATACAGAGAGAGAGAGATAAATATATTTTAGATTTTATTTCTGTGACTGTAACAACCCACAGGAGACACGACATTAACAGTAGTTATTTCATTCCTTGGCTTAAGCAGATCCTTTAATTCCACAGCTGACGCTGCAATAAATGCTATTTTTTTTGCGAATCTCCGAGAGCAGGACTTTAATCTCCAAATTCGTAAAGTTTTTCTTTTTTGCTTTGCGATGTCATTCATGAATGAACACTTCCTGGTGTGTGGAGCAGGAAACGTATATCCTTTTATGGTGTTTTTGGGGGTGGTAATTATGTAAATTAGCTCTCCTCGTGCACGAGCAGCTGGATATAAACATGTGTAATTCATCATGTTTACGCTGCTCATTTACACACTTTTCCTGAAGATAGAAGAGTTTGTTGAATCTGACGTGACATGTTCGTACGAACCCTTTTGTACGAACAAAAGTAAGAGAAATTTAGGATAAGAATACGAACATGTTCTTGCATGAGGCCCAATGCCTTTTAAGACTTTTTAAGGATCCGCAGGAACCCTGAATCTGTTCAGCATTAAACTTTTTTCAAACTGAGGTCATTCAAAGAGCAACAACAGATCATGTTGTGTGAAAGATGATTCATTCAGTTCTTCTGTTCAGGTCTGTTTAGCTTTTAGCTTTGAAAACTTAGTTTTAGCTTCTTCAGCAAATTTTTGCACTCACTCAGCCGTCGACGTTCACACCGCATTTCAGCCAAAAACTAAATTTCTCCAGGTTTTTTTTTTTTTTTAACTTTTCTGCTTCAAACGCTGATTTGTAGCTTTAAGCCACCAAATAAACATATAAAGCGTGAAGCGCTTCACACTTTGGCTCAGAAGAAAACATTTTATGAAGTCCAGAAATATCTCCTCTCATTCAAATGTTTTTCTTAGACAGTTATTTTCTTTTAAGTGAGACAAAAGGACAAGCAGTCAACACGCGTAATTAAGACTATAAAACAAAAGACCGCAAACAGGAATGAATGCTAGTCCTTCCAGATGGTTCCCACTACCGCCAGAGACAAAAGGAGGAACAAATGAGGCAGCAGAGGAGGAGATGAGCTCCCGCCCCTTTCGGCCTGCAGGCAATGAGACGAGGGGTGGACTGAGTGGGCCCTTTTTTAATTTTCTGTCTCTGTGAAGCCATTTTGTGAGGGTTATTCATCAGTGAGTTTATAACACTCGTCTAATGTAGAGCAGAGGAATTTTATTTCCCCCCCCCCACTTCTTCCTTCTTGAGAAACAGCTGAAAGTAATTATTGGTGCTGCATCTTCAATTACCTCGGGAACAAACACTATAATCATGCTCTGCATTTCGAGCACAAATTTTCTGGGAACCAAGTGGAAAATGGAAGCAGATTCCTAACGGGGGCCACTAACGGAACAGAATAATATACATTTAAACACAAGTCAGCGAAGGAATCGATGCTGCAAAGCAACCTTAGACGGATTCTCATCGTAGGTGGGGGTTCCCAGGTCCATCTCGGACTCGTGGTCCACACTAGTACCGTCACCGCTTCCTTCCCAGGTGGGAGGGTCCCACTGAGTTTGCCTGAAGCGGAAATAAATAAAGACTGTAACACACGCAGAAACAGGCAGTTGTTAAAGACACAAACGTGCAACACACACCTCGTGACGACGTGGTAGTAGTAGATCTTGCCTTCAGGGTCCCGGGCCACTTTCCAGTTGGGAGGTAGGATAATGGTTTTGGGTTTAGGGGGAGAGGGGGGAGGGAGGTCGATCACATTGTTGGGTACAATCATTTCCTGGCGARAAGAGAAGCACGAGGCATGTGCAAAAATCAGATACAACATTACACTACAAAAAAACACCAGTGAGTAAAACCACTGGTTTTATGGCTGAAACATTATGATGACCTTCAACATGTAGGGGGTCTTCACAGGAACGTTGCCAAGCTCGTCGAGTATTTCTTTTATATTAGTTCCTCGTGCAATTCTATATTTGTCTTTTTACAGCCTTTAATCTGTGGTGCGTAACAACAACTGGATGAGAACTTTTCTTTGTTTGAATAAGTGAAAAACCAACAAATAAAGACGACATCTGGGACCCACTGGACTCTCCATAGTCACAGTCTAACTGTTGGTCTTTAACGTATCGTGTTCAGACAAATACTGCACCCTTGTGACCAAATTGAGATGTAACCCTCCCTAGTGTTGGTGCATTAGCTGTTTTGAACTTGAGGAATGACTTTTTCTCGTTTGTTTAAATATGAAATCAGTGTTAAAGGTCTTTTTTATATTTAATGTGCCTTATTTAAAGGAGACCAATTATGGGTCCTAGAAATGTTTATGGTATGTCTGTGGGCTATCCAGACCATGTTCATTCAATTTAATGCACAAAATAATTCTCAGATAATAAAATTTCCCATTTTCTAGTTCTGCCTGCTCTGACTTCCGTTCAGAAGAGCTGTTTATGTTAATGAGCTCTGTTG